TATGGTAAATGAGTATTTATACAGAGCCTTTCTAGTCTGGATGACCACAGTACAGTTTTTGCTTTTCACCCATACATTCATACACTATACCTATGAGCAGCACTTTCTGTCAAATTGTACAATGTAAACAACTGCAGCTGAATTATAGCTCATGCACAGCCTCTGAAGTAACGTATCGTGTTTGTATCATTAATGAAATGCTACACAATTAATATAAATAACCATAAGTGTCACCTAGTCAGGAGGCGCTGTAAGTTAATTGCTGTAATTAAAGGGGGCGTGTTTTTTTTAAATTAGTTTATCTGTTAAATGATACATTCTTGTTGGGTCCCCCTGATAGATTCTGCCCCTTAAAGGCAGCTGCCCATGATGCCTTTCTGTCCACCGGGGGTGTTGCACTAGTGTAGGCAAGGCAGACCTGAGAGGAGAGGGGGCCCCTGACAACGGTTGATAATAACACCTAAAAATGTTATGATGAGCAATGTGGAAATGACCAAATGAAGCCCCATGCCACTAACAATGGTTGATGACTGGAATATTGGGTGGGTGCAGATCCCTTTTGCTAGCCCCCCCGCCAAAGTCCTATTGGCCACATCATGCAAATATTCAGCCCTTGCCCATACAGCACCTGCATGCAAAGCAATTTCTCTCTCTCTCCCTCTGTCTGTGAGAAATCCTCGCCTGATGCAGCTGCTTCCCATGTTTGAATCTGTGTCTGTCCTGAGAGAATTCATTTTCCTAATCATGTGCTGCGGCGTCAAGGAGCCAGAGGCGCATGCTCAGTGCACACGGTCTGCCTCACCCGAGGTCTGTTGCTCTGCTACGAGGCTTAAACTGCAGGAGCGTCTGTTAACGGAGCCCACATTTGAATGATGCTTCACTTTATCATTCACATTAATGATGCACCACAGACTTCCCTTGTTACAACCAGCCTTTAACCAAGCCGGATGAAAAGACGGAAACCAAAGGTGGACACCACAAATCAGTGTGTCTCTCACCTCAGCTGGATCAACCAACGAGAGACGTTCACTCACTTGTAAGTAACGTTGACCTTTGACTTTTATTCATTGTTTGAATCAGTACAGGTTTGGAAGTTGGCTGTTATTAGACTGACTCCCTATGCTGTATGACCTATGGAACAACATGTTTGTCTGCAAGGCTTATTTGCCAATATGATAATTCATATGTGTTTTGTCCATTCAGTGGAAAAACATTCTTGCTGCTGACAAATAATTTAATCAATCAATTAAAATAGAGAAAAAAAGAGGTGAAAGATCTGTGAAGCACTCAACACCACCGTGACAATATTTACCTAAGTTTTGAAAGGAAAAGAAAGAAGGAGTTGATCCAATTCAATGCATAATGCTTGTTCCACATTGTGTCTACAGGGGCCCCGTGCCTAGCAGCAGGTAAAACTGATGCTCTGAGTGTGTAGACAAGAACAGATAATAACCCTCACTGGACCATCACCAAGGAGACAGAAACCCCAGAGGGTTGACTCCAGGGTTTGATGTAAAAGTCTCCCCCAGGTAGATTCATGCCTGCACTGCAGATAAGATAAGAT